CCACGCGCCAGCCTGTCTCCACCAACTGTAGTCGCCTGGCTGCCTGCACAATCACTGTAGAACAGGTTGGCGTCGCGCCAAGTCCAGCCCCTTAAACGCTCTCGCGTATGCGGCGAAGGTTGCCTTGTTTGTATTGCCAGACTCGTATGGGAGGTGTTGAAATAGATACTGCAAACTTACCTTTCCAGCTTTGAGCTGACTAACAAATGAGAGCATCCCGTGAGTGTTTGGCGAATCAGTATTCTCTAGGAGAACAAGTAATTGTGGTCGCCAATTTCGACTATGCTGAGGCTTGGTGTCAACGTTGAGCAAGGCAAATCTGAAATGACAAGGTTTAGCCCGCCATCAAAGCAGTTCCCAAGCTCAGGCGTACCTAGCAGCACTGAGGCCGAGACCACGAATACCGTCTCCCCATTCTTTTTCGGCTCCAGCATACTCAATGTACTTGTAGACGGCTGCACCGATGAAGATGGCAACGAGTGCAAAATACCAGGCCGAGATGAACATCACCGCCACACACAACAATGCTCCTAACATCGACAGAGCCCTGAAAATCGATTATTGATTGATATCGATGAGAGAATTAAATACTGTCGGTGGATGCCGCTAAATCTGAGCGTGAACTTATGGTTAGGTCAAAATTAGGAATGAAATCCGGCGGGACGATAACCAAGCTACCCTTTCCGCAAAGATCAATTGACTGTAGCAAAACGCTGCCCGATCTCTTAATTTGGTCGAGTTTCGAGTGATTTTTCAACTTTTTTTCAAGCGTCTCCTTGGAATTCAAGGGAGCTCTGTTTTCCTCATTGCGCTACTCCAAAAGAATAAATATTGCAGGTACTTCTACCGCTCGAAGGTGAAGGGAGAGCCTTTGAAGGGCTTTCAGCTCTCAATCGGCCATGAAATCGAACTTCATAGCATAGTACAACTTACCAGTGGAAATATCGAAATGACGGTCTCCAACCGGGTGATTTGAGCAGAGACTGTAGGGCGCATGCCGTGTTCACGCCCAGATAGCAGGACATAAGGACAAAAATCTGAAATGAATAATTATTTGTGAAATGTGAAGATGAAAGTCACTATGAAGAATCTGTGGCGGAGGCTTAGTGGAAGGTAAAAACGTTTCAGTTTGTTCATATAGTAAACAGCATATTCCAGTGCTTATTTGAAAGGGCGAGACAGGAACTTGCATCTCATTGGGCGTAGTCTCACCCGTATATTCCTCTTTGCCAAGAAGCACCAATAAGGAAGAAGCAATGCATGTCTCCGCCCACCCAGTTGTTACGGAATCTTACATTGAGACAGTGCAAGTGATTTTTGAGGGTATTGTGACCACACGCTTTTCTATTATAATTCTTACTAAAAAATTTTAATGTACGAAAAGAGGCGGGAGTATTTTTGAGCAAGTGGTAGAGTTTTCGGAGTAATGACGTAAGGGTTCTATTTTTAAAATAATTACCAAAAACTGACTGTGTAATGAGAGCGGTGATGTTTTCAATGACGGCTATGAGAATGCCCATCCAACAGATCAGAATGGTGACGAAGATAGCACGAATCGGCTCACCACGACTGTCCATCTTCCGGAATGGCTTCAGAAACGGTATGACGTCATCTGAAAATTCATTGATTGAGGGTTTAATTAAAAGGATCTAGAGGAGGAGCTAGAGGATCTTCTCTCCTTCCATCTTTCTATAATTAAGCATTACCACACGTTTTCTGGGATAATTATCATCCATATCGGAGGGCAGCAAGGGGCGTGGCTACCTATTCCATGCCAACTCCCTTCTATTATAGGGTGAATAGTCGAGTGAAATTCCTTGAGACTGTTTTAGCTCCCGAAGCATCAAACTGATCAATTCCTGATCTGTAACTCCAAACTTCTAATTGTAAGTCACTATAGGAACGCAGATTTTCGCTGACAGGCTCTTCGACGGTTTTCTACCAAGTTGCCTCCCCCACTCAATCGCCCTCCCTCCCTGAAAAGTTTTTGCAAAACCTCAGAACACGGCATGACCATCATTGACTTGCATAAACGAATTTGGAATTCCAAGTGGCAGACGTCGGTACCGTATACTTCCCTATGTACGGGATTTGGCACAAGTTCTCCCCATTCACGAACCCTTTCTCGCAAAATGTTGTTTTTGCCGTGCATTTCACGGTAGAACCTGCTGAAAATTTTATGAAAAACATGGCCGTTTTTGAGGTGGAAAAAACAAGTAAACAGCACGCATGATGAAATGCGCCAGTCAGTGGATAATACGGGCGACTAACTTGGTGAGCGACAGCCAAGCAGTCAACGAAGCGATACTTTCCTTCAAAACAAGCAAATTTTTTGGAGGTGGCAGATGTGGGGCCTGCAACCAGTATAGCTCGGTGGAAATACGCGCGGGTTAAACAAGCTTAAGACCAGACGATCAAATTTTCGCTAATGGAAATAGCTTCACTCCCTCCTTCGAATCAAAATTGGCTATATTGGTTAATATGGCAATTTAGGTGTTGTTATTACGGCAATTGGCCGAGATAGCTTAGCAAGAGGCGCTGCTCTCTGTGTATGGCCCGCCGATCGAGTCGCTCCCACGTCAACCAGAAATTTCATTCAGAACACGTCCTGACGATGAGATCCCTATTTATGCAAAATCAACTTCGCTAACTTTTAACTGAGTGTTGCTGAGAACCCGCTCGATGAAGTAGTGGGGGGGAGGCTCGAACATGACTCTAGCTCTCGAAAATTCCTTAACCATGTCGTGGTAATTGATAACCGATTCATAGCAGGAGGGAGCAGGCGCAGAGCACGACATAGAGCTCCACATTCGCCGCTCCGAGAGGAGCGGATCTTATTTGTTTCTGATGGGTGAAGAATTTTTTGTTTGTTGAAATTTCTCGATTTTCCCGCTGCGCCAGGCGTGCTGCACTTTCTTGAGGGAGTCCGGGGATAGGAACACTTGAGTAATTCTGGGGGAGGCGGGAGAGGGGGGGGGTGAGGATGTTAGAATGCTGAATAGTGTGTGGGGATGTACCGAGGGACGCGAAATTCGGCGGCGAGCGGCGTACTTCCTCCCCCACTCCCGACCCCTCGCAAGACGGGACACCCCGTCCGCTTTAGGAACAGCACGAAATTCTTACAAGATGTAAACTGGGACGTCTAGTCCTCATGAGCCATTTTTGTCGTCCTTCTCATAGCTATTCACTCAACTTCATTTCAGTTCTGAGCGAGGCCTGAAAACAGCCAAAACATGCCGTAGACTGAAGGGATCTGTTTTCTGACATATTTCAACTTTTATATGTAGTGGTGTTGAACACTTTAAAGATGCCAAGAGTCACTAGAACAAAATCACTTGAAAGTCCTACCCCTCCGTGTAGAACAGGATCTAAACAATTCTCCACAAGAAAATGGTAATTTTCCAAATTTTTTCGGCTCCAATAACACCCAAGGGCGTAATTTACACAGCCTGGGAAGGCTCTTTTGCGAATAAACGCGAAAAAAGCGAAGATTTCAGTGAAATATGATCGAGCATATAAAACGTTCAAGCCAGACGTTGAATAATTTCGAATTCCATGCAAATTCACGACCTCTGGGAATTTCTAATGGACGGGCAGAACGATTTATGAGACCATGAGAATCAGTCAATATCATTTGCATTCTAGCAGAATAATTCATTGATACAAAATAAAACATAACGTGGATGAATTTTGCATAAAACATAAAGGGAACACTAGGTGAAATATTGAGATTCAATCAGTGAAATGCTGGGCGCGAATCCCTGTTGAAGCGAAGTAAATCAACAGATTACAAACTTGCCCCCCCCTGATTGATCGTGAGGAGGAGTTGCGCGTAAAAAACTTGCAACCTGTTGGCCCTCCTTTTGGAACAGTGAATTATGCGAAAGATATGGCTCGAACTTACCAGACGCAATCGCTCCGCAAGCAAGACCGTGGTGCTCGAAAGATATGCCATACTTACCAGACGCAATCGCTTGCAGCAAACGTGGTGCTCCTGTTAGTGACTGCATACCGGCTCCAATTGTAGCTCCCAGACATCCAAACTGAAAAATACGGCATCAAAAATTTGTTTTTTAATTCATTTAATCGTATTGCTTTGACATGAAAGCGACATCTCTTGCAGTACACCCCCGTGTTTGTTCCCTTATGTGCCCGCTCCGCACTTTTCAGCCTTTTTCTCAAGTCAAATAAGCCTCATACGTCCGCCTACGCTCATAAAATAGCCCTTTGAATGCACAGCGACTTTTCAACGACTTTTGGACTGGAAAGTTTGCAACAAAAGGCCAAAGATCCTGGACAATAAACCCAGTGAGGCACCGTTGTAACAAAGCACCAGGCAAGTTTCGTCTTTGAAGTCTTTCTTTGATGGCATTGGTGACCTTTCACCTCTCTAAGCTTCGATGAATTCCGCCTATAGAAGCAGGATGTGGGCTTTTACTCCCAAAAATTCCCATTTGAGAGCGGAGCAGTCTGTACGGTTGTTTACGAGTCACCTCTCCCACCCATTTTGTATAGAGTGAAAGGATTTGTCTCATCAAGTACTTGTGGACCGGGACTTTTATTAAAGCAATGGTCGATGAAATAGTTAATGGTCAGGAAACTGGAAAATATTGGAAAAGTCGGCACTGTTTGGCTTAGGGGTCATTTTGCACTTTCGCTAGTGTCTGCTGCTAGTTCCTGTTAAATTCAAATTTCATCTTGGTGAGACCTGTAGACTCTCTTAGAAAGGAACCAAGATCTTGCACTTGCATAGCTCTACAAGAATTCACAGGTCTCCACAAGAAGCACCGACAGTGATCAATGGAAACAAGCGAGATGCCCCCGCCAAGCCGAACTGCGCCAAAAGGTCTGTAGAAGACTCACCAAAATGACCATGGGGTTTGGCCATGCAATTTCGGAGATAGTCAACTTGCTCATGGCTGATTGACCATACTTGTCACGAATAAACATCTCGGAGACGGATGCACCAAATACCAGCACGCCAACTAAGTCTGAAATGGGTACTTCTCATAGACCTCTTTGTCTTTCCAATATAGAAAATAACATATTTGGAATTTTGTCCACAACTATCTGATAGCTAACTCTGATAGCTTTGTTGCTTGAATTATAGCGTTCCAAAAAATTGAGGCTCTTACAGAGCTCTCACCCTTGGCATCTTGAGCCGCAATCATGGAGATTTTCAGCTTACCAAAGAACTCATTAGAAGGAAAAAAACATTCAAAATGAAAAACAGTGTCCTACAGCGCCTGCATTGCAATTAGCTCTCCCTTCCACTTTAACACTCTGGATAGAGCGGTAGTGAGAAACCGTCAAAATTGGCCTGACCCGTGGCTAGTTGTGTCCGCCCATACAGCAATACAGAAGAGCACTTAGCAAGCTATGTGAGGCTATGCAATGGATTGCGAGGCTAACCGATCTACGATCATGAGAACGAATCTCAAACGACTCCGGTACTAACTGACCCTTGATAGAGATAAAGCTTGCTTGGCCCTTGCGGCATCCCATCTGGGTTCGACCTAAGTCCGTTCCTGTGGTAAGTGGTATCGTTCTCCTTGACTCCACCTGTACTATATATCAGCTAGTCTAACACTGTGAAGCGCAGTTGTCCTTTTCTGCGGTTCCCTCGGGCCATGCATCTGTTCAGCGTTTGGGCGGTATCGCCTTCATTTACCAGCATGATTTTTGTCCAGTCAGCTTTTAGCTACTGTGAATGCAGTTTTTTCCAGGGTTTCCTTTCGTGGAAATCTAACTTAAACTTTAAAGAAACCCAGTCGTTATGGTCGCGCGATCTTGGACTGCTGCATCTCTGGAGGGCTTGACACTTCATCGAAGGCCCGAACTGACCGGTCGCCCGTGTTGTTGAGACGCGGGTTTTTCGATTCCTGGGCTTGACTACAATTATTTCATACGCGAATAGAAGCGTGGCGAGCGGATTTCCTAGAGTCCACTGCTCGACCGCTCAAGACTTCAAAATTGAGCCGTTACTGCCAGGCGTTTCATGAGCGCGGACTCAACTCAACACACTGAGAGAAAAAGGAGCTCCTTGCTGATAAATCCTTTGCTAGTGCACCGAGCGGATCTGTCAGTTTGTCTAGTTCGCGATTAATTAAGTTGTCAGTTTCTCGCAGATTAATCGGTCAAAAATAGCGCGGAATGTCAGAAAAAAGGTTAGCATCAGAGATTAGCGATGAGTCCAGCTAGAAATTGGTCTAAGTGTGACAGAAAAATGCCTTAGAACAGAAAATATGCACTGCAAGGTGTTTCCTACTATCTGCAATCACTGCGATGACACCTTCCTCTCTTCAACATACGCCATGCATTTGATTCCCATCAAAAATGTGGAAATAATTCGATGCTTCAAGAAGTTTACAAAAAGAAGCCACAGCATGCTTCAGCTTCCTCGTGAAGTATTTCCACGCCATTTTGGTGAAATGAACACAACAATGTTGCTCAAAGTGCATGGGGACGAGACTGAAAGACAGTAAAACACGTTGCCGACTCCCTCACGCTGCGGCGCGGCCAGCCAGACGCGCTACTTCCTGCGCCTTCTCACTTTGGTTGTTCTCTACCGCTGAGTATGTTCTTCGTTGCAGGACCTTATGTCCGCGTAAGTGCTGCTTTTCGAGGACAGCGCGTGGAGTATGGAACCGGCTTCGGGAAACACTGCTCTCGTGTCCAGTTTCCGTGCAATTTTAAAGCGAAAAAAGTGGCAAGCTATCGCAACAGTGGATCCAGTCACCTTGCTCAGGACCTGGACCGTTCCCAAAGGTTGTTTACACTCTTTCTTTTAGGTCATCCGAATAGAATTGGTGTAGAAGAAAATTTTCAGCCTCCCCGAAGCTCACTCTCCTTTACGCTTCGACGAGAGTTCTCATACCAAATACGGTGGCTCTGCTTCTGCGAAAGGAAAGCTTTGGATGTCCCCATGAGGTGGCTAGCGCCCGAATTTTCAGTTGCTGAATACGAGAAGTCTATTAGGCTTTCCTGCCAACAGGTGTGAGTCAGCGCTGGGGCCAAGCGAGTGGAAAAAATTTATTTTGTGGCCACTAGATTGAATGAACTATTTGCTAGCTGGCTAAATCCATATAGGTGGCCTCTTAGACCAAGTAGGTGCCAGCGCCAATCCATACATCACGGATCTCTCGACCGTAACCCACCCGGGTCAACCGCCTAGACATAGTAATGAAAGGACATCAAGAAATTCCCTGATTCTTAGATTTTAGAGCCCGATCCAGGCTGCAGTAAATAATTAAATTATTCACATAGGTAAGTTAGAAACTATACCCAGAGACAGCAAACCGTGCACTTCACTTGCCGCTGCTGCACGTGTTCCATGAGGTTATAGGCGGGCATGATGTAGCGCGTGGCACGCTCGCAAGGCGCGCGGTCCTGCAAACAGATCCCGGCCCTGCTTCTGCCCAGGCCAGCCGAGTAAAATGGTACTAGATTCGTGAGAAGGAGAGGTAAAAACGTTACATCGGTTGCCCCCCCCCCCCGTAAGCCATTGCTTGTATTTTATTAATTTCATTCTGCTTCCTCGAATAAAAGAGAGAAAAGAAAAGTTCGAAAACCACTCCCTCAGGTAACATGTGGTGCCCTCACGAGAAATATTTCAGGAAAAACCGAGTATTGTGAGACCTCGGCTTGCCTTTTTTGAGAACAAAACCCCTTTTTGGAGATGACTGCAGGATTAACGGCGTGAGATAGAAGCCGTTCGCGTTCGTGCGATTTTAGACGAAAACATACCCCGCGGGCTATTTTCGCCTAATAAACCCTTCGGCGGTCAGCTCTTAACGGCCACATGCGTTTTGCATGCTAAGCCAGACGACTCAAACGTCGTCACTAATCCCATGTGCGCCACTTGAGCCATCTTTCTGAAAATGTCGATTGTAATGGGCCCAGCTGGCATTATTATTAGCCTTGCCATTGTCATTTGCAAGTAAGGGTAATGGTACGGAAATAAACGAAAACTACTGTAAGCAAAAAGCATGACGAGTCATCCAGAGAGATAGTGTCATAGGATTACTGTAAGAGCCATAGAATTACTGTAGTACTTACAAACTGTACTGGTGGTGATCTGAGCAGCAAGTGTTCCCAGTGGTATTGCCCGAGACGCATCGCGAAGATTTCCTGATCGATTCGAGCCGGCCATGATTCCTGAAAATCGAGTAGTGGGTAATTGAAGTTCGTGGGTCATGTGCTGTCAAGAGACCCATGGTGCCCTGAATTTTTCTGAAAAAATTTAGAAATTTTGGCTCCAATAATTTTGAGCGAGAGTTTAAAAGGGGTTCATTTGCAATCAAGAGGAGAAGGAGATAGGTGAACAATTTCAGGTACAGCAGTACTAGTCAGATGAGGTTGATCCAAGTTCTGCACAAGGAGCCCTTCGAATGCCCTCCCTCAAAGTTTTTAGCGCCCTTTTCTGATTCGATGAATAAGTGGCAGGTTGAAAAAAGCGCGCTCATAAACCTGCCAATATTTCTGATAACGGGCCCTTATTTGTAGTCGATAGACTTTTTTTCCAAATCAAGGGTAAGCCGCGGGTTGATTTTGTATTCAGTACCATTC